ATCAAAAACATTTCAAAGTGACTGTTAAGGGCTGCAATATACTAGGTGCTGAGCATCCAAGGTTAGTTCTCATCTGAGCCACATCCTCAAGAGTTCATCTCCTATTTATTTAGCAAGACCTTCTCTTTTCTGTTTTTGACCTGGGAAGTTGCATGACTTTTTAAGTGGCTTCTGCACATATCTAATTTTATTTAAGTGACATCCATTCATTCTAATGTCACTTAATTTTCAGAGTTCTAGAAGGAATATACTGCTAAACTACCACAAGGGGTATTTTGTACAGAGGAGGCAATTTAAGCACTGGGGAGTTAAGCAGTGTACTTGAAATCACTAAGTTAATAAGTAGTGGAGTTGAGATTCAAACTCTAGCTATTTCTGACTCCAAAGATCACACAATGTTTCCTCTATTCCATGCAGTCTCTAAGAAACTAGAAACTCTGAGATAGAAATATGTAAAGTGCCTACTACATTTCTTCACATATTCCCCCATTCAATGACTATGTCTGCCAAAATAAAATCAGCAATACCAAGTTATAAATTTGTACAGGGCTTTCAGAACTCTTATTAGCTACTAGGCCCCCTAATTTAACATGCCAACAATAAATAATCTTCATTTTGGAAGGAGAAGGCCCAATTCACTGATATTTAGTACTCTTGGAAAACTGAATCAAAACCCAGATCACTTTTCTAGTTGAAGCTCTACTTCAGCAAAAATAAGGCCCTTCTAATATGTAATATATCTTTCACTTTTGTTTTTAGACTTATTATGTAAAATATATTAACAGTAATTTAAAAACATAGATTAAGTAAATAAGTAAAAAGTGCACAAAAATGTATATCTCAAATCAGCTAAAGCGTTAAATTACATTCTGTTGATAATGCATTTTCCTTTAATATAAGCTGAATTACTAAAAAGAAATGATTCTTAACCAACCCCATTAACATCTACCTGTTTTTTATGTTTCTCCTGAGTTACAACAGTTGATTACAATTGATGGCAAAGAGTCACTGGGTAAGGAAATTACTTGAACACAAATCTGAACATACAAATAAGAAAAATATGATGAACTAGGAAAGGGAGAACAGGAAATAGGAGGAGAGAGACTATTAGATGGTAAGGTTGTGGGAGTAAAACCACCAGGAACTGCAATTCATCAAACAGGAAGTCCTGAAATCACATGACATGCAGGAAAATAAAATTTAAAAATAAAGGAAAAAGGGAAAGAAAGGTGGGCGGGCTCAATAGAGCCCAAAGAGGGGGAAATGAAAAAGGCTTTAAATGGAAACATTACAAGCCTATTTCAAAGAATAAGTTATTGCAGCGTGAACACACAACACCACATAAGTGATGATGTATTATAGAATTGTATACCTTACATCTATATAATTTCATTAACCAATGTCACCCCAATAAATTCAATAAAAAATCTTTTTAAAAGAGTAAGTTATATATAATCTGGTGATAGTTAAGGGACTACTTTCACTTTCTCAGTTATGTTTTCCTAACTATTTAGTCAATAGAGAATAACACTAATATCCAGCCACTAACTGTCAAAAGCTAAAGAAAATAATTTTCTCCTAGAATAGTTTTTATGATGTCATTTTTTCACAAAAAAACAGAAAAGTATATTATATTCACAACTAGCTTAAGAAATATCTGAATTAAATTGATCTTACCCATTAATGTTGCTAAAAGACACAAGGAGTACATTTCTTTGTCAGCTTGTTCCTGAAGTTCCTTAGATGACAGTTTACCAGCAGCAGCAATCTCTTCTTGTTTCACAGCATGGGCTGAGTGTGCTGCAGGAGACTGACCACCTTCTGCTTTGTTTTTTAGAATCTCTATTGTAATTCTGTCACCATGCTGTAAAGGCACTGGCTCCTTTTCCATTCCTGCCTGGGGTGGCATTAACTCTTTAGGAGGAAAGCCATATCGAATACACTGTAAATATGGAGGAATGTTGAATTCTCTAGCTATGCTTTCCTGAAGTTCAAAAAAGGTTGTTGAAGACTTAAGTGTAACCATGGACTGTCGTCCATCATTAGTTGTTATTCGGATCTTCTTCTCTTTAGAAGCTGTTGGTGAATAGAGAGACTTAGTCGGGGTAGCAGGTGCAGAGGATGGACCATCACGAATGGCACTGGGAGAAACAGTCCTGGGCTGGCCTTTCTGTTCTTGTTTTAACTTCTCTGTTTTCCGTTTCTGCATTACAGAAGCTTGTTCTGTAATATTCTGTTGAATAATTCTTTCAGTTTTACTCATGTTTAACTCCTCCTTGTGCAAAGTTTTTGTTTTCTGTCCAGTAAGAATAATTTTAGTTGGGAGCTGAGACTCCAAGTCTTGTCCTTGTACATCTCCAACTCTTTGGGCATGAGCACCATCTATGTTTACAGGAGTATAATCATCAGGATTCTTTTTGGCAGTCTGATGCAATATAGTATGGACAACTTTCTGAACTAGGATTTCACTCCCAAATTCACCAGGAAAGTGCTTGGTAACAAGTTTCATTGCAACATCATAAACATTACTATTCAAAGATGAATCACTTTCATACTGGAACCAATAAACTGTTTCTCTGACCACTCTGCCACCCCATTCCAAAGTGATAGGAAAAGCTTCTGGTAGATTGTCATACTCTTTACCATCCCAAAAATGTTTGAATCCACAACCACATTTGCCACCAGTGGACCTAGAATTAGTTCTGTCCCCATCCAAATACACAATAGATCCATCTCCTCTGACCCTTCGCACAGATGTGCCATGGCACCAATTACAAGCTGTGAGGTTACTCAATCCGTAGTCCGGTACCAGAACATCTTTCACTGAATCATATGAGCAAACCAAATTGTTCAAGGGAAAGCTATAATTTTTGTCAGGCCTCAGCTGTCCATGAGTACTTTTTGCCAGGTTATACAGTTTCCCTCCTGGAGCCAACCACTCTGGAGGAACGTGAAGTTCAGAAAGGGCACCACAGAGCAAACATTTGTGAAGACGATTATCCATTACTGCTTTTTTAGCAGCTGCTGTGACTTCTTCAGGCTGAACTCCTATCACCCCAGTCCTTCTGTAGAAATACTGATGGACATCAGCAACCAAACTAGGGTGGATACCGTGTTTGTCCATAAAGACTTCTTCCATAGCAGCAACAAGCCTAAGTAAGTATTTATCCTGCAGACTTCTGTCTCCTCCAATAACACAACCACCATCCTCCTCAAGTTTGATGTACTTTTTAATAAGGTCCTGAGGCACACCCCATGCTTTAGGAAGTAAATTCATAGGCAGTTTGGGCAAAGCTGCCCCCTTTATGCCTACCAAGGGGATATAATGGTTTCTACCAGAGCTACTCCATGCAATACAGATTGGTTTGTTCAAATGACCATCTTTCCCAGTGCACTTCTCTGCAGGGATGAGCCCAGGCAGAAAGGTAGCTGAATAATCACCAGAGCTTCTCATGCCACTGAGAGAATCTAACAGAATAATGGGGCGATGCAACACATTGGCAAGGCCAAATATGTGGATATTCCTCAGACCCAAGGGAACACCCTCAGGCGGTACAAACATAGGGTCACACTCATTGATAATGTCCTCCCACTCAGCGGCATCAATGAAGTCATGGAACAGGGCTTGGTATCTGGCCAGGTGCTGCTGAAAGTGCTGTTTCAGATTCTCTCTCAAGGCATGCCAGAAGAGCTCCCGGCCTACTAGAGCCCGGGAGACAGCATGCACCAGGCAATGTCCATCCCCGTCCACATGCACTGGAATGAGGCATTCCTGACTTTTATTGGCCCGCTTGATATCCTCAAGAGTGTCGTGCAAATATAGGAGGCTTCCGGAGCGGTCCTTGCCATAGCCCACAGTGTTAACATGCTCTGGTTCGATGAGGAAGGCGCGGTCACCCAGTAAAGCGCAATCGAACACTTCACCCTGGTTCATGTCCCGGAGAAGCTTAGCCCGGCCCGTCTGTTTGTCCATTCCATAGCGAGCTAATATGGGCGACAACAATTTGCAGTGGTAGTTGGAAAGGCCCATCACCTTTACCAGTTCCGTGGTCTTCTTGGGTGCTCCCGTAACCCCTAGCAGCGCGTTCCGCAGCAGGTTGTGTAGCACTACGTCCGGGTCGGTCACCTCCTCCACTCCCAGCAGCTGTTGTTGCTCGTGCCGCTGTCCGCACTCGGTACACTCGATGCTGACGGAACCGGAGGCCGGGAAGAACAGACGCGCCTGGCACTTCGGATCTGGGCAGCTCCCGGAAAGGATTCTCCGGTCTCTCCGCTTCGAGAGCACCCCTGGAGCAGCAGCCGCCGCTGCCGCCGTCAGGGACGATGGAGTCTGCGGAGCCTCAGGGGGAGGAGGCGGCGGCGGCAGCGGAGGCGGCGGCGGCGGCTGAGACATAGCTCTCGGCTCTTGTGTCTCGCTCCGCGTCCCAAGCGACCCTCAATGGCTCATAGCCCAGACCTCCACCGGCCCAACTCCGTGTAGTCCAGGCCCAGGGCGAATCACTTTCCTTTTCCCTACCAGCTCCTCCTCCTCTTAAGCGAAGGCGGAAGCACCAGACTTGGTTCTCTTCTTACTCCTCCACTGCCGTAGCCGTTGCCCCGAACGTAACGGCCACCACCCTAACCCGCACTCACACTCACTCACTCTCGCTCTCTCGCTCAGACACACAGACATACACGCCCTCACTGAGAGTGCGCAGGCGCAGCTTTCGCTGTACCCTCTGGGAATTAGAGTCTTCGATCCTCTTTCTTGGCCATCGAGTGCTAGGATTTTAGGTCCTATAAGAACTACAAGTCCCGTGAGGCCAGGCGGTTCAGCGTCCGCGGAGAGGAGGAAGAGGAAGGAGATAGGAAACGGGGCAGAAAGGAAAATAGTCACTCACGTTGTCTGCCGGGAATTGTAGTTTTATCTGGATCGGCCTTGCCGTTTTCCCCACTTTGGGGCCCAAGCGAAAGAGTGTGAAAGACCACATTTCCTAGGATACACTGCGGTGCCTCCAGCTTCACTTCCTCCTTAGGCGGAGGGAAGGATACAGGGAAGCTTGCTTGGTAAATGAGCGGTAAAGGCAATGGTGGTCGGAAATGGAGGTCTGAAGCTCACGATTTCTCTAGAAGAAGGGGAGGGAATTGAAAGGCTCCCAGTGAAAAAGGTACAGTAAATAAATGTCTCGTGATATGGTGGGCTGGGAAGTTGAATGAAATGGTCTTTCCTAGGCTGGCGATCATAAGAGAAAAAGGGGGAAAAATAGTGAATTGATTCTCGGAGTGATTCTTGAAGTCTTCCCCCCACCCCCACCCCGCCACATTTTAATTCTCTTTCTTCCCACTATTACAGGCTACTGAAATGCCCGAGCTCCATTTTCTGCCTTTCTTCTCCACTGGGGGTCGTTAAGGCGCCATTTGTTTCTTCCTTCCATGTACGTCTTTGCAGTTTACATTGCTACAAATAATACCTCCTTCCCTCAGAGTTATAATAGCCATCGTGAAGTTCTTAATATACGTCTATCAGCATTTCTATACACGATATCATTTTGCTCTATGTAATAACCTTGTTAGGAAATACGTCCAGAAAGGAAATGACTTGCCCAAGTTCACAGTCAGTAAGCAACTGGATAGGTACAGATCTACATCTGTAACCATTTTACAGACAAGGACATAGGCAGGGAAGGTTAAGCCAGTATTAATAAAATAAGAGCTAGTTTCTGGTTACTATTTTAATTGTTGATAAAGGACACGTAGCCTAAGAAAAAGTCTTGTAAGAGTTTGAGCCAAACTGACGCAGTTGCCGGGAAGCGAAATCTCAACATACTGAAAAATGCTCCAGGGAATGGTAGTTTTGCAGTTTATTTTAAAATTAAAATCAAAGGAGGAGTTGTTAGGAAAGTTATATGAAATTCATTGGTGGTAGATTACAAAGGTGGGAGAAAGCAAGGTGGGAAAATATCTGGAGATAGGATATAAACTGGAGAGACGCATCTTTTATATTAGTGGGTATAGGATAGTAAACATTTACAGGACATAGAGATGGTATGTGGGCAGCAAGGTAACAACATGGCCTTGAGTTCTGGTGTAGATAGTTGTGCCTTTGAGGAGTCTGGAAAAGAAAATTACTGGGACATTTCAAAGGTATGTTATCCCAGATACACAAAGACAAGAGACAATTTCAAAGGTAAAGGCCAATTTTTGTCAAGAATCTACAGGCCCAGGACAGGACCATCCAACATGACTTGCTCTTAGGAATTTTTACATTGTGACCACCTTGTGTTGTTATTTTGGTCTCTGGGTTTGTAAGACCATCCAAGCAGGCCTCCCCTAAACTTGTCAGGTTTAATATGTGGCCCTTTTTCATCCACATAGCGTACTTAATATGTTAGCATATATCATCTGATCCTTACACTGGTCCTGCGATACCTTTACCAAGTATATAGTTGACCCTATTTACAGTTACAGAAAAAAGACTAGAAAGAATTAAGTGACGTGTCCAAGGTCAAATCACCAGTGTATTTCAGACTCAAACAGTACTTTTTTACAGTACTTCCTCTACAAAAGTAAGAAAGAGCTGTTAAGGTTAGAACTTTTGTTAAGCCTCAGGGCCTCCTCTTAGTGACTGGGGGGTGGGGGGGGTGGTTAAGAACAAAGACCCATAAGAAAGGTTAAAGCTTTATTATGTGCTAGGAAACTGCCTTTTTAGGCAAAACATTCATATGTTCAGTGTAAGCTAGTATTATTTAAATTACTGTATAGTCAGTCCCTTTCACTTATCAATCTGGAAATTATTGCTTTCAAAACCTTAGATAAATGAACTTCCTCAAAATTTCTGAAACATGCAGCACAAAATAGGTAACACCAGTGCAGTCCATGAGGTCTTTTGTGTCTTCTGTAGGTTTACCTAGTTAGGTTTTTTGAGTAAATAGAATTTGATGCTTGAAATGAACCATCTATAAGATAGACACTTGTAAAGAGTCTTAGTACTGACTTTCACCTAATTATTGTCTATGATTTTCTTCAAAAGAGATGTGTTTGGAAGAGAAATCCTTCAAAGCTTAATTACTTTCTTGCCCAGTCCTACGTTACCCATGAAAAAATAATGTTACCTTTTAGCAAGATAGGTAATGGTACTTACCTTGAAGAGGATAATTTATGTAGGAAAAGTTGTTTATATCTGATTTGACAATAGTTGGGTGGTAATCACTTAAGTGGTCTTGTAATTAATTTTTAATTGAGTGTTTATAAGCTGAGTAATTGGATATGCCCTTCAAGTGGAAATTATTTTCTTCCATGACTGAGAAGTTACACCTGCAGTGAAATTTTTACTCATACAGAATTCAAAGGATTGAATTGTGAAAGCCTTGGAGCATGTGAAAGCTGACGGCAGTCATGCACTTTTATGTCTTAACCTCACCAAGCCAGATTTTCCTTATCAGTGATACATATGAACAGTGAAATAGATTTTTTTATATTGCACCTGAATATGTCACTCTGAATCGTACCTTGACAAAATAACCAGTTCCCACCCTCCTGAAGAAATGTGCAGCATTTCTGTGGCTTACCTAGCTTAATCCACTGATTGATCCAGTGCTCATTTCCCTATGTGGAACCTTGATTAGTTAGAAACATTCTTCCCAAACTAAATTTGATAGTTAAACCCGTTTGTTACTATAATTTTTCCTAGTTTTATGAATTACAGTTTTGAGGGAAGAAATAGAAATACCCTGGTATAAAGCATAGTTAATGGGGGACAGGGGCGTAGATAAGTTTTCAAGCAATTCTAGAATGAAGTTACATTATTTAACCTGAAAGTCACTTAGTTAATGAATCTATAGATGTAAGAAAGGAACAAAGATATTAACCATGCTAAATTCAATTTGTGAATTAATTCTTTATAGGCACTTAGAAGGCATGTGTACCTGCATAGTAGGAAAAAGAAATTTTGTTAGGACAAAATATGACATACTGTTTCTTATAAGGCCATAGGAATACTGAAAGCTTCTAACCTATTTATAATCTACTTGTTTGAGATAAACATGCTTCCTCCTTCTTCCTCCAAACTTCCACGATCTTAATTGCTTAATAACTTTCCTAAGATTTACATAGTAGTTCTTTTGCTTGTCTCAGTATTCCAGATGGGAAAAATGAGCTGAGCACCTAATGTTAGCTGCTCTGATACATAACTCTTCTCCCACCATCACCCCAACATCACTTGTATGTGAATTACAAAAATTTAGTTAAAATTGAAATTCATTTTTTTCCCCCATAATTTCTAGTATGGCACTTCTCAACTTCCTGGATTGCTTTTAACAAACCTGGTAAATGTAAAGCTAAGGGTATCTGTTTAACATAAAAACAAAAAGTATCCACTTCACAACAGAAAAAAAATCATTGCTTTTTCTCTTTTATATTAGGGATTGTTTTAAGTCAGACACAGTCTTTCCCCTATGAAATATACATCTGTACTAAGAGTTGACTATTTTACTCCAGCTCGCTACCCTAGACTGTCATGTCTGGGTACAAGCATTTGTTGAAGCTTAGAGTGAATATGGAAGGGACTTAATTACTGAAGTAGAAACTATAGGAATTGAAAAAGATGCAAAGCCCATCCATATCCTAAAGGAGCTCACAGTCGAGTAGGAAAAATAGCCTGATCTAAACTATTCATAAGTACAAGGAGAAAAACACATATAACCAATCAAAACAATACAGGAAAATAAACATCACAAATTCTATAAAAAATTGAGGGCTTTAAGTATATTATATAATCTTTAAAACAGTCCTGTGAGATAGTATTGTCTTTACGCAGATGAGAAGATGTGACTGGGAAGGTTTCACTTTACTGTCATTACTACCACCTAGCTAGCAAGAATTGGATCCAGGCTTCAAATCAAGCTTTTCTTCCATGGTCAGCCCTCACTCTTTCCATTACCTCACAACTGCTTAGTGATTTGAGAGACAATTAGCCAAAAAGTGAGTACAGACTCGTGGCCAGTGGCCACATTTGGCCTACATGCATTTTTGTTTGGTCAGCAGCAGTTTAACATTTTTTTTTAATGTGAACATCTTTGGGCATTAGCCAGCACGTCACTCTTTAAGGTTGTACACCAGGCCCCCTTAACACAAATTATTTGCCCGAATCCAAAAAGCATTTGTGCTTTCTATATCAGGCAGTAACGGGACCGAAAGGAGCTATTCTCAAAAGTATTGGTATCGTGGAGAAGTTATATTCAGGGGTTGGAAAGAGGACTTTATAAACAAGAATTGCAGAGAGTATTTGAAAAAGAATGATTGGCAGTATTTATTATTATATAAAGGGGAGAGAGATCAAGTATTATACAAAGCCAGAAGTTATGACTTAACATGGCAGTTCTCAAACTTCAGTAAGTGTCAGAATCAAATGTAAAGCTAAAACGGATTGCTGGGTTCCACCCCAGATTGAGTATTTCTGTAGTGAAGCCTGAGAATTTGTATTTCCAGCGAGCTCTCTGGTACTGCGGGTGTTGGTCCAAGTATTACAGGTTGAAAACCACTGCTTACCAGACTGTAGGGCACTTTGGGAGAAGTGCTTAAGCCAAGGTTTTGCTTCTGCGTTTATGTTGTTTCTGTTGTTTTAAGTGCAAAATCAATTGTTTGATGTAGAATGTTTAGAAAATTAAATTAGTGTTATCAATTAGAGTTACAGTTTTTAAAATTTTTGATGGATTTTTTAAATTTCTTTTTTCTAAAAAAAGATACTTTAAAAAAACAAAGTTATAATCATCATAGATAGCTATTAACTCTTAATTGGGCATCTACAATGCATGAGGGTCTTTATGTATATTTACTTAATCCTTATAATATCTCTATGAGCCAGGTACTATTATTATCATTCTTATTTTACAGATGAGGAAACTGAGGCATAGAGGAGTTAAATAACTTGCTCAGTGTTTCACTGCTGGTAAGTAGCATAATTAGTATTAAAATTCAGGCAGTCTGGCCCCAGAGCCTGTATGCTTAACCATTATGCTGTGCTGACTCTTAGGCTGTACTATAGTATGTACTGGTTTTAACCTATATTGTTTAATTGCAGGTTTTATTTATTTTTAGACAGAGGGGAAGGGAGGAAGAAAGAAACACCAATGTGTGGTTGCCTCACGTGCCCCCAACTGAGGACCTGGCCCACAACCCAAGCATATGCCCTGACTGGGAATTGAACCAGCAGTCCTTTGCTTTGCAGGCTGGCGCTCAATCCACTGAGCCACACCAGCCAGGGCATGTCATGGACAATCTTGATAACTTAAATATTCTTGTCCAACATTTGAAAGCATACTTTTTTCCTTCCTTTACAGGCATTCTTTGTTTATTGCATTTTGTTTTCTTGTACTTCGCAGATACTGCATTTTTTACAAATTCAAGGTTTGTGGCAACCTGCATTAAGCAAGTCTTCTGGCACCATTTTCTAACAGCATTTGCTAACTTTGTGTCTCTGTGTCTACACGTGGTGAAGGTGCTGTGAAGATTGTTGAAATGACAACAAAGGATTTAGAATATTGTGTAACTTTGTTGATACAGCAGCAGCATTGTTTGAGAGAATTGATTCCAGTTTTGAAACAAGTTCTCCTTTGGATAAAATGCTGTCAAACAGCATCACTTGCAGCAGAGAAATCATCTGTGAAAGGAGGAGTCAGTGTGGCAAATTTCATTGTTTTCTTCTTTTAAGAACTTGCCACAGCCACGCCAGCCTTCAGCAACCACCTCTGATCAGTCAGCAGCCGTCAACATCGAGGCAGGACCCTCCACCAGCAAAGATTGTAATTCAGTGAAGGCTCAGGTGATGGTTAGCATTTTTGAGCAATAAAATATTTTTAAATTAAGGTATGTATATTTTTTAGATTTAATACCACTGCGTACTTAATAGACTATAGTATATTATAAACACAACTGTTATATGCACTGTTATATGTCAATTCATTTGACTGGCTTTATTGAAATATTTCCTTTATTGTAATGGTTTGGGAATGAACCCATAGCATCTCTGAGGTATGTCTGTAAAATATTTCAAACATTCAAAAGTGTACAGCAAAATAATATTTCAAATATTCATGCACCCACTGCTTGGTTTAACAAATGTTAATAATGTAGCATATTTGCTTTAGAACTCCCCTTGCAAAAAACAAAAACAGATTTGAAAAGACTAAGATTTTGAGGTTTAATGTTACTTAAAATTGTGCTTTATAAGGGAAATTACCATTTCCCTAAATACAGATAGGATATTCATTAAACTTAATAATGGAGGAAGAATTTCCACATACTGAACAACTCTGTAACTACTGTTGCCATTATCATGCTATCTCAGTGAACACTCCCCTCCTTCCACACCCATGGGTTTGCTTAGTTCCTTAGCAGTAAATGTAATGAACACAGATATTAACATAAAGCTAGGTAATGTGACTTGTATGGTCTACTCAGTTTTCATGCTGCTTGGCCCACTTCCATGTGGTGAAGGTCAAATTTGACCAAGGTAGCATGTCAGCATTGCCCAGTAGAACTGTCTGCAGTGATGTAAGCATCCTATGCATGTCCTGTCCAATATGGCAGCCATTAGCCAAATGTGGCTATTAGGCACCTGAAATGTGGCTAATTCTATTCTATTCTCAGTGCAACTGAGAAACTGAACTGTATATTTTATTTAAATTTAAAGAGCCACATGTGGCCAGTGGCTACCATATTAGACAGTACAGATTTAAGTCCTCAAAATCCACATTAAAATTATTGAGTCCCCAAATTCCAGCGAGTCCTGGCTCAGGTAGAGGGTTAGGGGATGGGGACTGACGACAAAAGGGAACTTTTGGGATGATGGAAATTTTCATTATCTTGATTATAATGATGGTGACATGGATATATATGTTTGCCAAAACTCATCTTGTACTCTTAAAATGGGTGTGTTTGATGTATGTAAATTATATCTAAAGAAAGTTGATTTTACAAATTAAAAGAAAAAAAAGAGTTGAGTTTTAGAGACAGTAGTTTCACCTTGTATATATCTAAAGCATGCCTTCTGCCATTCCTTTTTTTTTCTTATAATCACCAAAATCATGACTACATTACCATCCCTGTGTGATCTGGCCCCAACTACTTTTCTGACATTATTTCCTGACTGTGCTTCAGTTTCCTTTATTTAGAACCCAGGGTTACTTTTGGGGTGAAAGAAAATAAAGTTCAAGAATTTACTAAAAGAAACATCTGTTGTATCTTTATTCTGGTAACAATTTTGAGTTTCTGTAGAATGGCCTAACCTCTCTTTCTAAACCTTCTAGCTCTATCTCAAATACAGTCTAATTCAGTTCCTTTCATGTACAGTCTAATTCAGAAACTTTCATGTATACAAAGTCGGAACAAGTTGTACCTGACACATTTTACATATGTATAGTTTCATAAGACATACTTCAATAGGTGACAGAAGAACACACTTTTAGCCCTGTGTCATTTGTATATACCTTTCCTAGTATTCCAAGGTACAAGTGCATCATGATGATATACAAGAATTTAAACCCAAGGCACACTGCAAGCTAGTGTTATTTAAGTCGGCAGCAATATACTATTGTAGGAAATGATGTGTATGTGCTAAATTAAAGCATTCGCACTAGGCGTCAGCTGATCACATCAGAGAGCACCTGAAGTTGAGCGTTGGTAAAAATAGCAATAAATGGACAGTACACCTTTTACAAGGACTCCTCTTGCTGAGCATTTTCCCACTTATACTAATTATATATACCCTGGAATTTGCGAAGGTGTGCTCCATGAATTCTATGGATATTAATAGGTATCATGTTGAAACAAAGGTCCGATAGTCAAATAAGTTTAGGCAATGATGAATAAACTAAGTTTAGACCTATGAACCTTTCTATGCTGATGATGATGTGACTTCAGAGAGCCACAGTGATGGCTCCAGAATAACAGAGGCTTAGTGTCAAGAGTCTGCTAGCAGCATAAGATACTAGGAAATGTCCTTCAGTTACATTTGTTTATTTTGCACACTGTTTTATTTAGGATGCATACTTGGGGGTGATCCAGGAGAAGCTGATAAGATAATGGGGATGTTTGGTGCCTTAAACTATCCCTTGGTACTATTTTATGTAACTTTTCCTCACTTTGGCTACAAAAACATTTTGAATCTGTGTTCGAGGTACACATTTAAGAAAAACCAACTCGGGCAAATAGTATCTAGTTTTATCTGTGTGCTTGAAAAGGAATTAATGCTTGCCCATATTGGGCAGTTATTTGGTAGTTTATGGGGGTGTTTTCCATTTAATGTTTTCATCCAGCTGTTATATATTGTACGTGATGTGGGGAGAGATTTTACCTATGTATTTTTATATTGCAAAATACCAGTTGTCCCAAAACCTTGCTTTAAATGTAGTTTGGATTTTGTTTCCAGGTTCAGAACCCTTCAGAACAACTTATCAGTAAGTTCAATAAGTAAAACAGATAAATACACAGTTGAAATGGGATAAAATAAAAGTTACTTTAACCTGCCAGTATCTCCTGCCCTCATTCCTACCCCCCCCCCACAAGAGAAGCTATAGGGGATACTTTGGAAACCATTGGAAAAAAAGCCATCCCCTCATAAATAACTTGAAATGCCACATCTGTACTATGCTACATTAAAATTTTTACTTATCCCAATTATTTTTCTATTTTTTTGCAATCTTATAATTTATGGAGCCTAATAACTTTACAATATTAACAGAAGAAGAAATGAAACATCTAATAAGTAAAATTAGAACATGGGATCTTTTGGCACATGTAAAATTATATTTCTTTAGAATAATATCCATTATTGGCAAGAGTTAATTAAATATCTTCAATATAGGAAAGATTTACTCAGTAAAACTGTGTAATTGTCAATAATTTGATAATCTGTATCATCAGTTTACAATGTTGATATTCCTCAGTCCACCAAAACAACTAGGATTTAACCCTAAAGAAATAACCAAAAATGTATGAAAATATTTTTTACAGTTATGGTATTGAAAATGAACCAAATGTTTAACAATGTATGACTAAAATGAATCCTACACAGTCATAAGACAGAATACTCTCCAGCCTTTACAGTGATGTTGTAAAAAGAAAAAATATACCATACTAAGCACTTTAATTATATTGTCTGTCTTTACGCCTAATAATATCCCTAGATAATAGGTATTACTATTCCCGTTTAAAAATGAAAAACAGAAGTTCAAACAGCTAGTAAAATAGCATTGCTAGAATTCAGCCCATCTACTCGTACTCCTTGTCCTTAATCACTGTCCTAGTGATAGAAGAAAATTTATTTTTACTGTTATTGTTTTAACAGTTTAACTGACATTAAATACACAAAAACCCTTCTATATGCAAATCATTTCTTCCTTTCCAAAGTTACTGATGCTTCATAATGTTTCTCCCCAAGTGAATCTACCTTTATACTTTTAAAAATTGATTTTGGAAGTATTAAATGCCTGCTCTAAGAATTCAAACAATACTGAAGGTTATAAAGTAGTTGCACCTTTCATTATAAAATATATCTCTATATGATTGGATGTACTTGTTGGCTCTGTTTTACGTTCAATCAATTCTCTCTCTTTTTGCTCTAATGTCAACTTCATTGGCCCTGACTGGGGATGGAGGCAGACCAGAAAGGCAGACTGGGTGGAGATGTGTAGATCTGGATGTCTAACTTTCAACACAAAAGAATCCAGTTTGTAAGCAGTGTAGTGTGGTGGTTAGAAGCACTGATTCTGGAGCCCGACTGGCTAGATTAAGTCCTAGCTTTTCAACTTCGGTAACTTGTTTGTGCTCTTGGTGCCTTGGTGCCTTCATAATATTAAGGTGGTCATTGCACCTACCTCATAAGATTGTGGTGAAGAATAAATTATTTAATGCATATAAACTGCTTAGAACAGTGCCTGGGACATAGTAAGTGCTCATCCATTATCTGTAGTTGTCAGGATGATGATGGTGGTTGTGGTGGTGATAATGGATAGATGCAGAGATGGGGAAAGAAGAAAAATTATGAGTGCTAACTATATGCCATATATTCACATGATCTTCCCATTTGATCTGAGTTAAATATTTTCATCATTCCCTTTTTATACAGATGAGGAATCTAAAATTCAGGGAGGTTACATTTGGAAGCAGTAGAACAAATCATTAGGCCTATTTCAAGGACTAAGAACAAGATAAATACTGAAAGCTACCTAGCCAGGAGATAACAAAATACTGTGGAATGAAATGAAAAACTGGCCTGCACAGTCATACCACCCTTTCGGACCAGGAGGGCAGTGTTAACATTTAGGACTGGTTGTGTGCCCATCTAGTATCAGAAAACTGTGCTTTGGGAATCCAACTTTTTAAAAAATATGTATATCTATCTTACAGATTATGCTATTACAGTTGTCCCATATTTTTTCTCCCTTTTATTCCCCTCCACCCTGCACCACTCCACCCAGCATCCCCCCGCTCCTTAGTTCATGTCCATGGGTCATACATATAAGTTCTTTGGCTTTTCCATTTCCTATACTGTTCTTAACCTTCCCCTGCCTATTTTATACCTACTATTTATGCTGCTTACTCCCTGTACCTTTTCCGTCACTCTTCCCCCTCCTCCTTCCCTCTGATCTCCATTTCTATAATTCTGTTCCTGTTCTAATTGTTTGCTTAGTTTGGTTGTTTTGAGGTTCAGTTGTTGATAGTTGTGAATTTGTTGTCATTTTACTGTTGATCTTTTTCTTAGATAAGTCCCTTTAACATTTCATATAAGGGCTTGGTGATTATGAACTCCTTTAACTTGACTTCTCTGGGAAGCACTTTATCTGCCCTTCCATTCTAAATAATAGCTTTGCTGGATAGGGTAAACTTGGGTGTAGGTCCTTATCTTTCATGACTTTGAATACTTCTTGCCAGCCCCTTCTTTCCTGCAAGGTTTCTTTTGAGAAATCAGCTAATGGTCTTATGGGATCTCCTTTGTAAGTAACTCTCCTTTTCTCTTGCTGCTTTTAAGATACTCTCCTTATCTTTAATGTTGGGTAATGTGATTATGATGTGCCTTGGCATGTGCTTCCTTGAGTCCAACTTTGGGACTCTGAGCTTCCTGGATTTCCTGGAAGTCTTACTTCCTTCACCAGATTGGGAAAGTTCTTCATTATTTTTTCAAATAAGTTTTCAATTTCTTGCTCTTCCTCTTCTCCTTCTGGCACCCCTTTGATTCCAATGTTAGATCATTTCTAGTTGTCCCAGATATTCCTAAGCCTGTCCTCATTTATTTGAATCTTATTTTTTCATTCTGTTCTGGCTGAATGTTTATCTCTTCCTTCTGCTCCCAATTGTTGATTTGAGTTCCAGTTTCCTTCCCTTTACTGTTGGTTCCCTGTATATTTTTCCTTATTTCACTTTGCATAGCCTTCACTTTCTCCACCATTTTGCAGCCATACTCAACCAATTCAGGAAGCATCTTGATTACCAGTGTTTTGAACTGTGCATCTGATAGGTTGGCTATCTTTTAATTGCTTAGTTCTATTTTTGGAGCTTTGATCTGTTCTTTCATTTGGGCCATATTTTTTTGTCTCAGCATGCCTGTTAGGTTAGGAGGGGCAGAGCCTTAGGTATTTGCCAGGGCCGGCAACCCAGGTCATTGCATTGTGATGCTATATGTGGAAGAGGGATCTGAGAGGGAACTGCGCTGCTTGTTTGGCTCTCAGCAGGCTTTCAGTCACTTCCCCTGCGACCCACAAGCAAATTGGGCCCTCCTGGTGCTGATTCCTGGGTGGGTGGGTTTATGTAAATTCTAGGACCCCGTGGGTCCCTCCAGTGGACTCTTCTGTGAGGCTGGGAGTTTCTCCCGTCACCACAACCCCCACAGGTTTTTACCTGCAGAGGTCTTCTTTTCCTGTTGCTGGAACCCTATATTACATGGTCTGTCTCACTCCCCAGCTGTTCCTGCATGGTTTATCCAAATGCATATGTGGGACCACCAGGTCCACCAATCACTGCCACGTGTCCTCTCTGCCCCAGCTACCCATATCCACCCCTCCTTCCAGTCTAGATGAATGTTTTTTGTGTAGCTCCTAGGCTATCAGACTTCCATACAGTTCGATTTTCTGGCAGTCCTGGTTATTTCTTGTTTTTAAATTTTTTGTCCTCTTGGTTGTGCGAGGAGGCAAAGTATATCTACCTACACCTCCATTTTATGCTGGTATATTTTC